GAGGTAATGTAATATAAAATAATGGATTATGTGAATGTGAGGAGTTAATTTTTTATTGGAATTAATTCGTTTGAATAGTTTTTTTTTTTTTTTTTAATGTAGAATTTTGATTGAATAGTTGACACTGAAAAGATCCAATTTGGTGGTTCCATAAAATTAAGGCTGGTGGTCCAAAGTAATAAATAAAGGAATTCTTTAACTTATATTTTTATAATACATGTTAAATTTTATTAAATATAATATTTTAAATTAATTTTGTATAAATTTTTATATTAGATTCAATTAAAATAAATATAAAATGTAAAATTAAAAAATATATATAATATTTATACTCAAAATCTGTAAAAAAAAATATGAATCGAATATAAAAATTTATGTAAAATTAATTACAAATTTTGTAATTAATGAAACTTAAAGCATAAGTTAAACAAACGCGTAAATAAATAATCAAATAATAAATGGCTTATTATATATTGAAATATTTTTTTATATGATTAAAGAATTAAAAGAAATATATAATAGTATTAATGAGGTTCCATTTTAAAAGGAATATTATATTGGTGTTGGAGGGTATGGTTGACTATTTTACATATTAGGTTCATAAAAAAAAATTGAGTGGTGGTATTATCGCATTTTTAGTTATTAATATTATATTTTATATTTTAATTTATTATTATATTTTTTAATTTTTTAAAAATCTAAAAATAAAAAATTTTAAAAAATATATAATACAAAAATTAATAATCAACTAAATTAAAAAGAATGTAATGTTAGTTAAATTAAAAAAATATAACATTAATTATTAAAGCATGTAAATAATGTAACATTAAAATAATATTTGCTTTGATTAGATATTAGGAGTATGTATGCTCCATTAAATGGCCCATATTTTCATTGGTTATCAGTTGGATGTCTAATATCTTTTAAATATTCATTGCCTTGATCTTGACTTCAAAGATTTTTTGCCCTTTTTCCGTCATCATAATAAATTAGTAGAAATTAGTTAAAAAATCATATAGGCTAAATTTTATCTAAGGCCCCTTAACTTTACAAAAATAACTTTCAAGCCTCTAAATTAGTGATAGATGAGCACCTATATTACTGTAATAATAATAATAAAAAGAACAAAAAGCTCTTTTAAACCGCAATGGTTAAGATATGTGTGGTTCATGCCACATGACATGCAAAAGAAAAATAGGTTAATTTTAATAGTAAAACAAACCATTGATGGGCATGAGCCCCTGACATTAGAGTGATTCCTCAATTAATGGTTATAAATTGAGCAGATTGTAAAATTACTATCTTTAATTTCAATATGGGCTTTGAAAATTTTAAAGAAAATTAGATCTTCAACTTTAAAAAATTAAATATCATCTCAAGCATTTTTAATAGATTCAAAAATCATGCTGACACTACTAGAAAAATGACGTATACGGACCGATCATATACGGACCGAATAGTGTCGGTCTGAACACAAAAATATACGGACCGATATCGGTCTGGATATGTTAATGAACATATTTGGACCGGTATCGGTCCGTATATTTTCGGCGGACGCCACAGTACAAACGCGCCAATGATATTCAGACCGTTTTCGGTCCGAATAGTATTTTCTGAAAAAAATAAATATTAAATACCAAAAAATAGTTCTGGCGGGACTC